TAGGGAACGAGACACTGCGTCCTCTAGGTTTCTTGCCATGCTGCGGAAGCAAGCTTCAGACGAAGAAGTGAATGATGTGTGCTCCCGGCGCCTATTTATACTACAGTCGCACCGGTAGTGACGTCATGGCTGTCGCCGGCCAACAAGTTGGTGTTTTTTCAATGTATGCTTCAGACACGGGTCACGACGAGGCGTTCCCCATAGCGACCCCTAGAGGACGCAGTGTCTCGTTCCCTACTCAGGGAACCATGGTTACATAAGTAACCTGAGAAGATTTTCTGGGCTTATTGGATTGAATTATCTATGAAGGATTGCTCCCCTGATGACCCGCAGATGGACTGAAGGCAACGGTGCAGGTGCAACAGGTAATAATGCCTTTGTCAGCTACCTGTGCATTTCATTTATTTAAAAACTAATGCATGGCACTAACCCTTTATGGATGACCAAAATTTGTGAGAGAGCAATAAACAGGATTCCACAAGCAGCCCTGAAACAATACACAGACCATTTGGGTCATAAAATCAGGGATCCTGTCTAGATAGCACCACAAATTTTAATTTAAAGTTCAGGATTTGCAGATAGGGATTAGGCTTGGATTAGGCTTTTTGGCAAAAAATAGAACCAGTCTTGTTAAAGCAACACAAAACCTTTCATATCCCACAGTCAAAACTCATTTGGCACTTTGTGTTTGTGCAAACCAACTCAAGTAATACCCAAATGATGATCATTAGACTCAAAAAAAAGGGGATGATTCACAAAGGGGGGCTCTAAAGCAGTGAGCTAGAGTTGACTCCCTGTATGTAAACTGGACTCACACTCTTCATCTCACTCTAATGCCTAGTTCACACCACAGGATTTTAAGCCCGATTTAAGCCCAATTTGCAAGTTAACAAGCTCGCCGACAGGTCGGGCTGTGATCAGGGGAAAATCAGCGGGTGATTGGCGCTCGGTAATCTTTATGTGTGAACTACACAATCAAAGAGGCTCGCTGACACCTCGCTGACGGCAAACAAATATCTAGCATGACAAATATCTGGAACGGTCGGCCGACTTGACATCACGTGGTGTCAGGTGTCATGACGAGCTACAGCCAATGAGAGAGCAAGGCATGGGTTGAGGTCACCAGAAGAAAAACAACAGCAGCAGCAACATGGCTTAAAGAAATGTTTGGACACAATAAATGGAGCAAAATTTTTCATAGAGCAAACAGCTTGCAGTGCTAATTTCTTCCTGACATCCATTTTCAAACAAACAACTCCTGTTTCACGTGTTGTTTCGCATCATTCCCATTCCAATTCTCGCATGTGTTTTCGTGACAAAACGTGGTTTGTAGAGTCGTTGGGTAAAAGAGTTGTTGTCAGCTTGTGTAGTGTGTAACCCCCGGTTGTGGATCATTTACATAGAGTCACGTACACCACAACGACTTAAAGACAGACAATCAAGTCATGTAGTCTGAACAGCACAGCGATCTGCCAACGTTTAAAGTTGTGTAGTGTGAACAGCCTAACAGAGACTAGTTTTCTCAAAATGCATCAGATAACTATAAGTTTTGGCAGTGACATAAATTTTGTGTTTTGCAAAGTTTGCTGCTTAAGCTGTTGTGGTGTTCATTCACATTCTTTCTAGATTATTGTGTAGAGTGATCAGATGCATTTAAAATAATTGCTAAAAGCTTCATTGGCCAAAAAAAGTAACTTTTCACACACAAAAAAAACGAATTTCACTGTTTTTTGATCCAAGGAGAGAGGTTCGACTGCAGTGAAGAAGTCTTCAGGACGTCCCAGAGTGTCCAGCTAGCCCCAGGACCATCTCCTCCTGAGGAGTCAGCTATGGAATCGTGTCAGCAGCAGTGCAGAGCTTGCTCAGGAATGGCAGCAGGTTGGTGTGAGAGCATCTGCACACACAGTGAGGCCAAGACTTTTGGACAACGGCCTGGTGTCAATTAAGGGCAGCAAAGAAGCCACTTCTCTCAAAGAAAAACGTCAAGGACAGACTGAATTTCTGCAGGAAGTACAAGAATTGGACAGCAGAAGACTGGTGCAAAGTTATTTTCTCTGATAAAGCTCCCTTCCGACTGTTTGGGACATCTGGAAAATCGATTGTTCAGAGAAGAAAAGGTGAACGCCACCATGAGTCCTGTGTTGTGCCAACAGTGAAGCATCCTGAGACCATCCATGTGTGGGCTTGCTTTTCAACCAAGGGAGTGGGCTCTCTCATAATTCTGCCCTAAAACACTGCCATGAATAAAGAATGGTATCAAAACGTCTTGCAAGAGCGATTTCTTCCAACGATCCATGAGCAATTTGGTGATGATCCGTGCATTTTACAGCATGATGGAGCACCATGTCACAAAGCAAGAGTGATAAAGAAGTGGCTTGAAGATCATTACATTTGACATTTTGGATCCGTGGCCAGGCAAATCCCTGGATCTCTATCCCATAGAGAACCTGTGGTCAGTCCTCAAAAGGCGAGTGGACAAGCAGAATCCTACAAATTGTGATCAACTCCGAGAACTAATAAGGCAAGAATGGATGGCCATCAGTCAGGATTTGGCCCAGAAGCTAATATCCAGCATGCCAGAGCGAATTGCATAGGTTATGAAGAACAAGGGTCAACACTGTAAATATTGACTCATTATATATTTTTGGCCAATAAAATCCTTTAAAACTTATTATATGTTTATCATTGTTTTTCAGTATACCATAGAAACATGTGGAAAAATAATCTACAAATACTGAAGCAGCAAACTTTGCAAAACACAAAATTTGTGTTAAAAAAATAACCAAAATACGCAGAACAAGAGCAGGAAACTGAAAGAACAGTGTGATCATAGTGCAGTATGTTGATTGATATGAGGTGAAATAACATAGTTACACTCCAAACTAAAGATGATGTTTGTTTGATTAAAACCTTGTTGGGTTTGGTTAATCAGATACGAACAAATTAACAGCCACCAAGTCAACTCGTCACTCAATTTACGATCCTTGATTGGCTTCCCAAAACATCACTCCAGACTCAAACCAGATCTGAGATCGCACACAACCAGGTAAACTCTGTTCAATAAACAATATGAGGGTAAAATTACTGATTGATGGTTCATTCAGGTTTTGGTCCAAGTAATTGCAAGGATTTCATTTACCATTCTTTATTTACTAACCTGTGTGTGTATGTGTGTACCGGTTTGACCTATATTAAGAAGACTAAATATCCTAATGTAAGACATGTTCAGGTTTTAGGTCTCTACCCCAATATTATGAGGACATACAGCTGTAAGTGATGTGTTTTGTTCTCTGCCGAGTTAATTTCTGAGTTCAATCTGACAGTCTTGTTTCTGTGCTGACAACTGAGAATGTTCCACATCCTGTGAAGACGGGCCCTCATTAAGGTCCTCTTTAGAAGTTGTTCTCAACGGCGGTCCTGAGGATCCACTCCCCATATTTTGTATGTCTTATGTGTATGCCTTATTTAACATTCTTGATTCAGATCATCAGCTTATTAGGTCATTGTATCACATAACAGAGATATAGCCAGGATTGTATTAATTTAAAAATCATGCGCTATTTTAAAAGTGTTTTTAAAAGGTCATAACATGGCATTTTACAAGGAACTGCATGAAAATAATTTGCGTAATTTTGTGTAAAAAGGAATAAAAGTTGTTGCCGTTTTTTGGCATTTGGCATTTTTATCTCCATCTATACATAACCAGAATGCCACAGCGCACAAATACAGTACATCTGCTCAGGTGTACTACTTGCAGACATTTAATTGACCTTATGGGCTCAAAATCTTTAAAGGGGTCATGACATTAGCGATCATTTGGTGTATAAAAGGTTGTTGTACTATAAAAGTACTTTTAGTTTAAGTTTCAGAGCTCAAAAATTCCTCCTCAAAATAAGAGCATTTTATTGCCATAATGACTTGTTGTCTACTTCCTCCACACTGTGGTAGACATTTGTATCAGAACACCTTCACAATAGCACAGCTCATTATTCCTTCCATATTCCTTATTCCTTCCACTGCTCAGCACAGGTGAGCAATGAGGTGACAAGGAAAGAGATGCAGTGATATTAGGCAACCATCATGTAGACTAATATCATGACCTCTTTAAAGATAATGCTGTAATTGACAATTGTAGATCTTAATGAAAGTCATTAGTCATGTGAAGCATTAGTTAGTCAAACATTAAAGGGGTCATAGGATGCCCATTTTCCACAAGTTGATATGATATGATGACTTAATGAAAAGTCTGTAACACAGTTTGGTTAAAATTTCTCAATGGTAGTGTAAAAAACACAGTTTTTACCCTGTCAAAAACAGTGCTTTTCAGATCAAGCAGTTTTTGTAGCATTTTCCTTTAAATGTTAATGAGCTCTGCTGACCCCGCATTCATCGTGAAACTTGCTAATTAGCACATTATTAGGAAAGGCGATTTGCAAAGATTCATTACAAAACATTATACTCACTTCTTCTGTAGATGAGGCTGGACCATGAATGATTCGCGCGAACATAAACGCATTTATGTAGATCGTGGGCGCATTCCCTTCAGAAACAATGTAATCCACTGCGAGCTCAGCGGCTCAGATGTCGGGAGTAACAACAACAGAACACCTCAATCGCTTAGGAGTCATTCTTGTCTACTGATGACAGCTCACTCAGGCGGGTCTAAGGTAAGACACCAGTCCAGTCTGTGCTGAAACGCTACTGTCAATCAAACTATTGTGGGAGGGGCCTGTCTGTGTGACGTCACACAGACAGGCATCTGAGATCGGCTCGATTTGAGAAAGGGGTAAACATTTAACCAGATTTTTTTTAAAACACTGGGTGGATTTTTATCATTATAGGGTGGTTGTGTACACACTGCCAACACACATTTCAGTTCAAACAACTTGTAAAAGTGCATGACCCCTTTAAGCAACAAAAAAAGCAATGTCCTATTGCGTGAGGGAGCAAACATTCAACAATAGTAAATGGAAGATATGAAAGAAGAGAGTGTCACTTACTCATGGAACAGTTTATCCTGTCACAGTCTAGATGGGGAAGAATAAATTACTTGTAAATTCAGCCTTCAAAGTAACATCTGCAGACATTGAAGCACATAACCCACTTCTCTGGGGACAGACACACAAGAACACCAATGATCCTGATGCTCACGCATGCCATCACATTCACCCAAATGCCCTTCTGTTACATTGAACTCTTTCTAGGAATATTGTCCAAATAATTACTGTTATATTTTTTAAGCCAATTAAGCAGCATTTAAGTGGCACTTTCCACAAAGAGGGTACAAAATAGTCTAGAAGACTTTTTCTTTTATTTTGTTGGTTTGTAGCTAATCCTAATATTTCCCATGAATTATACTGTTGAATGCATTGATCTTGATGAATGTGGTCAAGCGAAGCCACTTTCTGGGTGTGTGTTTTGTCCACGATGTCCCACCTTTGCAGGGCAGGCTATAGAATTGGAATTGTAACCCAAAGGTCGGGGGTTCAAGTCTCAGGTCTGGCAGGGATTGTAGGTGGGGGGGAGTGAATGACCAGCACTCTCTTCCACCCTCAATACCACGACAGAGGTGCCCTTGAGCAAGGCACCGAATCCTCTGGGTGTGTGCATGCGTGCGTGCGTGTGCATAGGATAAATGGGATGCCATACTTGGCTACACATCACGTCACTCACATGTTAATAAATTTACTTCAGGTGTATGAATTGAAGCAGTGCATGTTGGTTAGATTGGTTTGTCTGACTAGACATTCAGTTTGTGAAATTTCTTCACAGCTGCTAAAAGTAAAAAAGTATTATTTTGTTGTTTGTTTGTTTATTGTATTCAAATGCACCCTATTCATGGAAAGTTCCGAGTATTTAGTTGTTGTTGTTTATCTATATATGTACAGATTTGATTGCAATTGGAAATGTATTTGACTAAGAATGGAAATGCCAGAGCATCATACCTTTGGTCAGGCTGCGACAATGACTAGTAAACTGCCTGGTAATGCACATTTATTTTTGATATTGGCTGCTCACCCAAAATTTTCAGACCATGTTCTTATAAACAAGGTTCTAAGAAAATGTATAAAAAGGAGGCTCTTAAAGAAGAAGTTACAGGTCTGTGAGAGCCAGAAATCTTGCTTGTTTGTAGGTGACCAAATACTTATTTTACCGAGGAATTTACCAATTAATTCTTTAAAAATCCTACAATGTGATTTTCTGGATTTTTTTTTCTCATTTTGTCTCTCATAGTTGAGGTATACCTATGATGAAAATTACAGGCCTCTCTCATCTTTTTAAGTGGAAGAACTTGCACAATTGGTGGCTGACTAAATACTTTTTTGCCCCACTGTATGTAGTGTTGCACCTGATTAAATTAAGTTGGACTGTGGGTGGTTCATGAATTAGATAATTTTTGCAATGAAATAAAGTAAATTCCTGATTAAAAGGTAAGGAAGAATGTTTCTCGACAAGTTTCCACTGAAATCAGTATGTCTGTTTTTAGGTAGTGATTTATTGAGATATTTCAACCAAGTTCACCAGAAGCAGTGTCTTAGCCTAGAGTGCCATCAACCTCAGCAGAGAAGGGACTGCACACAGCCAAAGACCAGAGCTGGCTCATCATGCAAGGAAATGCTCTTTCTAAAGTAAAGGCTTGTTCACATATTACAGCGATTATCGCCGACGTTTAACGCTTAAAAGCTTAATTTTTTAAAAAATGCCTCGGGCTTGTTTTTTTGGTTTGACGCGCTGCGTTAAAAACTGGCCGACCAATAAAATTGGCTTTTGTTCATGTGCCTGGAGCTGCTGAAGTTACAGTAAAACATGACTTGGTGGCGCTCAAGCACAAAATGGTCTTGCCGAGCACACATTGATACCTAACGACGAAGAGGAAGTAAGTAGACCAAGAGGATGCATCGAGGCAAGATGAATGTAAAGCTGCTGGTCTCATTGGTGTCTGAACACAAAGGAATTTATGACAAACGTGATAGCGACTACAAAAATCTCGATAAGAGTGAGTAGTTATGGAAAGGAATTGCAGATCAAATAGGATTCGATGTGTACCGGGGTATTTCTGTTTTTCATTAAGCACCATCTAATGTCAGGGAGTGAATTTGCACGTTCACTCATCTCATCGTCAGCGAAAATCGCTTGGGTATGAACACAAAAGACGCGTCGAAAAACGTCCGCTATAATCGTCACGGTGTGTACGAGGCTTTACACTGTAAAACCTTTGAATCATTTAATTTAATATAGTCAGGTGAATTGTAGACTCTAATCTACTTTAAATTTCAGCTGACTTAAAGGGATATTTCACCAAAAAATTAACACTGACTTCCATTGAATTCCACTCTATGATCAAAAAAACACTGAGATATTTGTCAAAATATCTTTGTTTGTGTTCCCCAGAAGAAAGAATGAGTAAATTATGACAGACCTTACTTATTTGATTGAACTATCCCTTTAAGGCCCAGGCATATATTAATTTCTTCTTCATTCTTTGCTCAGAGGTAAAAAGTACTTTGAGCCTATTTTCAAAAATAGTGGAGTGTTCCTTTAAGATACTGTATGCCTCCAAAAGCTTGTTACTACTAAACAGTTTCTCATTTACTAAATGCTTTAAAAGGAAATAAACATGCAAAAAACAACAATGTGATTCACCAGGGCTTTGTTTGGCCGATATAGTGCACTAGATGCAATGAGAAAACAGTTCATCAACTGAGCAGTCGTATGGTTTGAATATATATGTGTAACCATATGTTTTTTTTATGTAATGTACCATGGGCCATAGTTTCCAGATATTATTAGCAATACCAGTTTCTCATCAACGGGAAAGCCTCAAAGGTAAAAAAGAAGAAAAAAGTGATGATGATGATAAGAATGCATATGTTTTCTCAGTCCTCAGAAGCGAGTGTCCTTCAGGACAGGAGACACGATCAGAAAGCCAGTTTCTTCATCAGGAGATAGACCCTGGAGTCCACTTCAAATCCATGCAGATTATTAGCATCTCCCTGAAGTCGCATTAGCAGACCTCCATACGACACATACGCAGATCTGTGTAGACACACATACGCACAAATCAGTGATTAGATTAGAAAGTATTATACCACATTGCTATATTATAAAATAAACAATTTTATATTCGAAAATGGATTTAAAATAAATCAAGTCAAAATAACAAATTTAATTCACAAATTTGCATTTACAGTGGGGGAAAAAAGTATTTAGTCAGTCACCAATTGTGCAAGTTCTCCCACTTAAAAAGATGAGAGAGGCCTGTAATTTTCATCATTGGTATACCTCAACTATGAGAGACAAAATGAGAAAAAAATCCAGAAAATCACATTGTATGATTTTTAAAGAATTAATTGGTAAATTATGGTGGAAAATAAGTATTTGGTCAATAACAAAATTTCATCTCAATACTTTGTTATATACCCTTTGTTGGCAATGACAGAGGTCAAACGTTTTCTGTAAGTCTTCACAAGGTTTTCACACACTGTTGCTGGTATTTTGGCCCATTCCTCCATGCAGATCTCCTCTAGAGCAGTAATGTTTTGGGGCTGTCGCTGGGCAACATGGATTTTCAACTCCCTCCAAAGATTTTCTATGGGGTTGAGATCTGGAGACTGGCTAGGCCACTCCAGGGCCTTGAAATGCTTCTTACGAAGCCACTCCTTCGTTGCCCGGGTGGTGTGTTTGGGATCATTGTCATGCTGAAAGACCCAGCCACGTTTCATCTTCAATGCCCTTGCTGATGGAAGGAGGTTTTCACTCAAAATCTCACGATACATGGCCCCATTCATTTTTTCGTTTACACGGATCAGTTGTCCTGGTCCCTTTGCAGAAAAACAGCCCCAAAGCATGATGTTTCCACCCCCATGCTTCACAGTAGGTATGGTGTTCTTTGGATGCAACTCAGCATTCTTTCTCCTCCAAACATGACAAGTTGAGTTTTTACCAAAAAGTTCTATTTTGGTTTCATCTGACCATATGACATTCTCCCAATCCTCTTCTGGATCATCCAAATGCTCTCTAGCAAACTTCAGACGGGCCTGGACATGTACTGGCTTAAGCAGGGGGACACGTCTGTCACTGCAGGATTTGAGTCCCTGGCGGTGCAGTGTGTTACTGATGGTAGCCTTTGTTACTTTGGTCCCAGCTCTCTGCAGGTCATTCACTAGGTTCCCCCGTGTGGTTCTGGGATTTTTGCTCACAGTTCTTGTGATCATTTTGACCCCATGGGGTGAGATCTTGCGTGGAGCCCCATATCGAGGGAGATTATCAGTGGTCTTGTATGTCTTCCATTTTCTAATAATTGCTCCCACAGTTGATTTCTTCACACCAAGCTGCTTACCTATTGCAGATTCAGTCTTCCCAGCCTGGTGCAGGTCTGCAATTTTGTTTCTGGTGTCCTTTGACAGCTCTTTGGTCTTGGCCTTGGTGGAGTTTGGAGTGTGACTGTTTGAGGTTGTGGACAGGTGTCTTTTATACTGATAATGAGTTCAAACAGATGCCATTAATACAGGTAACGAGTGGAGGACAGAGGAGGCTCTTAAAGAAGAAGTTACAGGTCTGTGAGGGCCAGAAATCTTGCTTGTTTGTAGGTGACCAAATACTTATTTTACCGAGGAATTTACCAATTAATTCTTTAAAAATCCTACAATGTGATTTTCTGGATTTTTTTTTCTCATTTTGTCTCTCATAGTTGAGGTATACCTATGATGAAAATTACAGGCCTCTCTCATCTTTTTAAGTGGAAGAACTTGCACAATTGGTGGCTGACTAAATACTTTTTTGCCCCACTGTATGTAGTGTTGCACCTGATTAAATTAAGTTGGACTGTGGGTGGTTCATGAATTAGATAATTTTTGCAATGAAATAAAGTAAATTCCTGATTAAAAGGTAAGGAAGAATGTTTCTCGACAAGTTTCCACTGAAATCAGTATGTCTGTTTTTAGGTAGTGATTTATTGAGATATTTCAACCAAGTTCACCAGAAGCAGTGTCTTAGCCTAGAGTGCCATCAACCTCAGCAGAGAAGGGACTGCACACAGCCAAAGACCAGAGCTGGCTCATCATGCAAGGAAATGCTCTTTCTAAAGTAAAGGCTTGTTCACATATTACAGCGATTATCGCCGACGTTTAACGCTTAAAAGCTTAATTTTTTAAAAAATGCCTCGGGCTTGTTTTTTTGGTTTGACGCGCTGCGTTAAAAACTGGCCGACCAATAAAATTGGCTTTTGTTCATGTGCCTGGAGCTGCTGAAGTTACAGTAAAACATGACTTGGTGGCGCTCAAGCACAAAATGGTCTTGCCGAGCACACATTGATACCTAACGACGAAGAGGAAGTAAGTAGACCAAGAGGATGCATCGAGGCAAGATGAATGTAAAGCTGCTGGTCTCATTGGTGTCTGAACACAAAGGAATTTATGACAAACGTGATAGCGACTACAAAAATCTCGATAAGAGTGAGTAGTTATGGAAAGGAATTGCAGATCAAATAGGATTCGATGTGTACCGGGGTATTTCTGTTTTTCATTAAGCACCATCTAATGTCAGGGAGTGAATTTGCACGTTCACTCATCTCATCGTCAGCGAAAATCGCTTGGGTATGAACACAAAAGACGCGTCGAAAAACGTCCGCTATAATCGTCACGGTGTGTACGAGGCTTTACACTGTAAAACCTTTGAATCATTTAATTTAATATAGTCAGGTGAATTGTAGACTCTAATCTACTTTAAATTTCAGCTGACTTAAAGGGATATTTCACCAAAAAATTAACACTGACTTCCATTGAATTCCACTCTATGATCAAAAAAACACTGAGATATTTGTCAAAATATCTTTGTTTGTGTTCCCCAGAAGAAAGAATGAGTAAATTATGACAGACCTTACTTATTTGATTGAACTATCCCTTTAAGGCCCAGGCATATATTAATTTCTTCTTCATTCTTTGCTCAGAGGTAAAAAGTACTTTGAAAAACCTGAACCAACAGTAACCTCACAATACTGTTGTAGAGGAGCATTTAAATATGCAATGCTGTGATGATTCACTGAGCAAATGACTTGTGGGCGTTTTCATTTCTGTGGTCATATTAAGGTAAACAGCATTCACATTGGGAGTGTGAGCTGCGCACTGTCAGGTTTTCATTCAGGTAATAAAAACAAATTCAAAGTCAAATCCAAATCTTAACCCCTTCTCATTCTCAAGGCATCAGTTAAAGCAGCGTGTGCAAAGGCCCGCTACACAGTGTTCATTTGATAATAATTATAACTAGATTATATTTATTTATTTTTGTACTTATTGTAAATTTTAGATAAAGAATTATACATAAAGAAAGTGTCTCAGTGGTTTTAAAGTGGTTTACTAACAGTGATATAGCTGGTGATATATAAGCGAAATACATTAATCTGAATACGAAAACGTTTTTTTTTTCATTACTATTGTTAATATGGTTATCACTATGTCAACCTTCAGGGTTTGAGTGACTTCAGTATTCTGTAAACATACAGAACATAATTTAGATGATTCACATCCATATTTAAATGCAGTTGTCATTCACAAATGTTGTCTTATCTGTTATATTCAGACATGGTAATGTGAAAGACTAAAACTTTATATATATTTGCGTGTTGGACGTTTGCCATAGGCTCTGCAGAACTACACTAGTCCAAGGAAGCCCAATCATGTTCCTGGAGATTTACGTTCCTGCAGAGTTCCTCCAGCTCCTGGAGATCTTATTTAGCTGGTTCAGGTGTGTTTGATTAAGACTGGTGCTGGATTTTGCAGTGAGGTAGATCTCCAGGAACAGGATTGGGCACCCCTGCTGTAGTCTGATATGCACCCCTTAAACCAGCCCACAAACAGCCACGTATTGTAGGTCACAGCGTGGAAGCTACAGTCTAGGTCAGACACAACAGAATAAATCAGCCTTTAGATATAGTAAAAATCTGTGGATATCTAAAGTGCACAGCTTTCTCCTGTGAATGTATTACTCAATGTAACACTGAGAGGGCACAAAGTGTTCATGCCTTGAGAAACGGGTGTTTTTCGGATGGGAATGGCAACAAAGAGGGCTGTTATACAACACAGAGCATTCTCCTTTAACACAGAGCACAGCTGAGGTGTTTGAGTGTGTACGGAGACCTGCAGACTCGGAGCATTGGAGGGCTTTGAGCATGTCCACCATAAAGACAATAGTGTTTTTGTGTGTGATGTGTTTTCAAGATACATTTTAGTGCATGACAGCACAGTAACAAAAAAGGTATTTTTTAACCCTTAAATGCATGGATGTTTCACCAATCATTATGACATATTCGGGTCTTTAGCGACCTGGACCTATATTTCCAACACGGATGGATCTCTAACTGCTGCAATGGCATAATTTTTTCCTGATATTTTAGTAACAATTACAAAATAATAAAAAAAAACATATTTGGTTACCTTTCGAAGCTTAGAAGGGTTCAATTTGAGCAGATGATTTTACCATTACTGTCATCATCAGAGCGCACTTCCCCAGTAGGCTACATCTGGCTCATATTCAAGATCTCAACCATATTCCCAAATTATCATTTTCAGGGAATTCAAAATCAATATTTTGATCGCTGGCAGCTTATTCACCACATCCACCATCAAATGACAGTGACATATTTAATTGCGTACAGTAATTGCTCTGCAGTAAAGCCATTCAAGCCAGTTCAGTTTTTGCTGATGATATTCTTTTGTTTTATGCCTGCAGTAATTAGGAGTGAAACATCACCTCATTGTTGTTTATCAAACAGTGCCACCTTGAGGAGTAAAGGTGAATTGCATTTATTGAGTCCTCAGATATTTAATTATTGTTGCGCAGGAAAAATATACTTACACTATTACATACCTTGGGTTGCTAGCGACCCTATACACTTTTTACAAATTCAACAGAAAACAGACATTCTTTTATATTTTATTTTATTTAAAAAAATTGTGTTATATTGTTTATAATGAATAGCTTGAGGAATACTAAGAAAGATGATGTATAACTTTAAAAAATGAAGGCGGGTGAGGGTAGTGAATGATTTCCCGGGTTGCTAAAGACCCGAGGTATGCATTTAAGGGTTAATGTCAATTTCTGGTTAGATATGAACAAGTTTGAGTATATTTGGTCACAGGGGTGTGACAGAATGTTTTTACTGATACCTAGATTAACTGTAAGCCGGACGCGACTTGTATCCAGCTCCAGACGTAGAGTGTCTGCAGAGTCTCGAGAAGTAGTTGCCATGAGAACGCCGTATGCCCGCTGGGATCGGAACCGTAGCGAAACATCTTCAGCCTCTGTATGCATAGCTACAGATAACTGGACCTTCAAGTACTTACTGCCGTCGTAACTGAGGATTGTGGCATCTGTGGATGAGAGGCAAAGATTATACTGTAATGTCATTAATCACGTTTTTTTTTCCCATATAGGCTTTCAGTGAAAAGTAGTTTATCAGTCCACAATGTAAGTGAAAATGGTGCATGATACAACATACTTACAGCCAATATAGAATATTTGAATTTTAATGTACTGATATGAGAAGTGAAACCGAAGCCCAGGGGTCTTCAACCCTGTTCCTGAAGAGCTACATTTAGATTTAGTTCTAGCCCTGCTTCTCCTGTGTGTAATTTTCAAGTAACCCTGAACACCTTGATTAGCTGGTGTGTTTGAATGGGGTTTAAGTTGAAGGACGTTACCTCTCCAGGAACAGGGATAGCTACCCCCACACCTAAAATGACCTGGTGTGCTGTGCATCAGTAGAACAAGACTAGTTTTCAAGACATACACTGATCGGCCACAACATTACAACCACCTGCCTAGACAGTATAGACTTCTGCAAGTTATGAGGTGGGGTCTCCATGTATCGGATCCAACATATCCCATAGATGTTAAATCGGATTGAGATCTGGGGGCCACTTCATGTGCTTTCTTTAATTGGATAGCTATCCATTTGCAAAAAAGACCATATTTAAACGCCTTCTGACATGCATTTGACATGGACTGCAATCCATCCGGCTTCTGATAGCCAGATACCACAACACTACTGCAACACCCATCTCCACAGATAGGTGCTTTCATGGTTAGCAGGGCTCATCATGGGCACTCTGAATGTTCCGTGGCTACGCAGCCCCATATGCAGCAAACTGTGATGCACTGTGTGTTCTGACACCTTTCTATCTTGGCCAGCCAGTTTGCATTAAGCAGTTAGAGCTACAGTAGCTCTTCTGTGTGATCAAAACCAGAAGCCTTCGCTACTCATGTACATCAATGAGCCTTGGGTACCCATGACCCCGTTGCCGGTTCACTTATTGCCATTCATTGCACCACATTTGGTAGGTACTGTACTAACCTCTGCATACCAGGAATACCCCATAAGACTTGATGTTATGGAGTTGCTCTGACTCAGTCGTCTAGCCATCACTATTTGCCAAAGTCAAACTCACTCATACCTTGACTTAACCATTTTTCATCACATGAAATTCAGGAACTGATTGTTCATTTGCTGCCTAAAATATCCCACCCCTTGACAGGTGCCATTGTAACAATATAATCAATGTTATTCACTTCATCTGTAAGTGGTTGAAATGTTTTGGCTGATCAGTGTACAGTATGTCTGTAAAGTATTTGTTATTAAAGACATCTGTAATGTTTACAATCAATTCACAGAAATATAAACTTGACCAGAATGGGTGTGCCTGCCTTTACATAGAATAGAAAGTTTGCCATACAAATGTTGGTACGTTCTCCATATCGTTTTTCTGTAAATTATCAGCATTTTATCTTTTATCAAAAAAGAAAACATTTGTATTCACAAATAAGTTCATGGATAATTGTGTAAACGTGTTAATAATTTTGAGACTAATGTCATCCCATAGGCATGGTGGCTCCAATGACACGAGAGAGATGAAAGTGTACAGCATGGATGTCAGGAATCTGACACCGAAAATCAAAGACTAGACAGAGGAACACACAAATTGTCCTGTCCCAAATAACAGCTGCAACATACCAATAAACCTTAATCTTAATGAAACTGTAATATAATACAACATTTCTGCAATATTTACGAAATAAGAAGCAATAAGCATTTAAAACAAGTGTCAGCCTCACCTTTCTCACAGGAGTTACCAAGATTGCCCGTCCCAGAGCAGTCACACACATAACGGTTCCACCCTTCCCTGCAGATTCCATTGTTTTGGCAGGGGTTACTGAGACACTGCTTGGGAGCTTCTTTGCTGCAGGAGGGCTTTACGCCTGCTGCTTTCTGCACCTCAGCTATGCGGCGGATATCTTTGCTCTGACCACTGATGAATAAGTCACGGATGCAGCCTACGTAACCATAGTTGAGCAGAGCAGTCCACACCTCAGTAGGAAACACCATATCAGCTTTATTTTCTGGCAGTCCTCCTAGATACAGGTTATCATCCAGGTCAAGGATCTCACTGTTTCCTGGGGCTTTGTATGGTGTGCGAATTGTGTTAATATAGGTGGTACCTGCAGTTCAGCAATGCAAAAGAAAATGTGAGACTGTGCAAAGTAAATCCTGATATATAAAGTAGAGAATAATTTAAAGTACAATAAGATACCTGGTAACACGTCCTATGAATACATCTTTATATACTTTTCATAAATGAATGAATTCACAGTTGTAACCATTCACAAGCAAGTTTTCAAATTAGGATTAAATGTATTTAACACCATTGTTGGGTTTTATTTTATTTTTGCATTTATCTAATTTGACGTCATGACATGAACCTGTTCTATGTGTGTCTGTGTGTGTGTTAAATATTGCCCTTTGGATAATTTCACTGTGAATAGATGGGCTGTGTTAAGAAAAGTTTGCTAAATTGGCACTGTATCTTTACTTTCTACATTTAGAAACAAAGATCATCATCGTACTGTCACAACTGCAAAGTGTCCAATGTATAAACAGTATGACAGTTCAATGCAGAAATTGTGCATATTTTTAAACTGATGACAAACAGTCTGGACCACTCAAACACACAATATATATTTTGTTAGCTAGATTTAACAAATACTCCGTAACACCCCAGGAAGCCGAACAGGCCCCTGGTTCCATGGTAACCCTGACACCCGATACATTTACGACCTCCTGGAATTTAGGTGAAGAAAATCCCTTCCTTGCCCATAGGGAAAATCCACAAGGGAAGGACTTTTCTTTGCTAATTAATTAATAGGAAAACCTTTCTTTGAATGAACACACATGATC